TGTGTTTGCCAAGCTGGCACTATACTACCCAGCTGTATCTCCAGTCCTGAAGCTTTACCCAGTAGGCAGAAAGCCAGTATATAAAAAAGATACAAATATCAATTCGCAGTGTTAACTTACTATAAAATCAACATTGAGAGAGCACTTTCCTAGCATGCCCAGAGCATTAGGTCCAAGCCCTAATAGCACCAAGAATAATTGATTTACTCAGCCAGCCATGGTAGTACACACCTGTAATTCCAGCACAGGTGGGAGGACCCCAAGTCTGAGGTAAGCCTGGGCAACTTACAAACATCCTATCTCAAAACAGGAAATTAAAAAACAAACAAAAGAAAAAATAAAATTAGAAAGTGATGGGGACGTATACAGGGGTATACATATACCCCTGGGGGTGATCCTCAGTATCATGAACACATACAGGGAAAGTGAAGCTGCTAAAAGAATAATTTAGGTACTTATGAATACCGTTAATTATATATGAAATGTTCTAAAAATAGTTAATGTTTAGATTTTTTTAAAGAAATTTACCATAGTAAAAGATACATTGCTGTTAATTCCCCTTAAAATAATCTCCCTTGCTTCAGACTCTTACTCCATTGTTCTTGCCACTTTCTGAAACTGTCCTGGAAGTCCTTTCTCTTAAGTGTCTTTAGTTGTGCTGTTGCAGTTGTCCTAATACCCTAAACTGACTGAAAACCTTTACCTTTGCTGGTCATTTGGCTTTGGGGAAGAGCCAGAAGTTGAATGGTCTCAAACCTTGTGAATAAGGCAGATGAAGACACCGTAACATTTTTACAAGCCTGCCTTCCATTGGATTCCACTTGGCACAGCATGCACTGCATTTATTAAACTTTTTAAAGACACAGAAAAGGAGGCCCAGAACTGCTCCAGAAAGTAGCAAGAGCAGGCTAACAGTGTTCAAAGTCAGGAAATGTGTTTTGAGGATTAATGGCAATGTGGCTTTTACTATTAATAGATTTTTAAAATTTAAGCGTCACCATCTTTTTTTTTTTTTTTTTTTTTTTTTTTTTGGGAAAAGTCTACAGGGTGTTCAAGGTCTCACTACTAGATCAAACTCATAGTGATCCGCCTGTTTACAGCCTCCCAAGAGCTGGGATTACGGGTGTGAACCACCATGCCCAGTCTCAATTGCCCTCTCAGTGCACCCCAGAGGTGGGGTCAGCACAACAGGCCCAGGGATCAAACCTCTGGGCCCGTGTGCCTGCTTGCAGGCACTTTAATTCACTGAGCTAATTTGGCACAAATGTGAGAGGGATTTTTTTTTTTTTTTTTTTTTTTGCTAGCTCAGGCTGCCTTAAGGGTGGATCTGCTAAGGCATGCCGGGGATCAAACCACAGTCCGCTGTGCCTGACTGCATTTGCATGAGCAGGCACTTAAACAGCTGAGCTAACTGACAGGCCCCCAACCATGAATTTTAAATCACATCTCATACGTTAATTCTGTATTTTTAGTATTTTTAAACTTCTTAACCACAAGATAAGTATTTGTAAATAATAATAGGTATTCTGGAGTTCATATTTTAATCTGAGTATTATCTTACTATTAGGGGCTGGGGAGATGGCTCAATGGAATAAGTACTTCCCTGGCAAGCACAAGGGCCTGAGTTCAATGTCCGGTTCTGAAAAAGAAAAAAATAAAAAGATTCAACCTATCTTACTAATATTAGGACTCAAGTGCAGAAATTTTTGTTTCCAAGCCAGTTAATTAAAATTAACAATTGTTCACACTCCTTATATAAAATGATTATCAACCAAAAGAATCTAAAACTGAAGATAAAATTTAAAATTGTCTGTAAGTCAACATTATGGAAGGTAGGTAAGGCAGGCAAGTGGATGTACCCCTGTAATCCCAGTACTCAGGAGACTGAGGCAGGAAGATCTCTGTGAGTTTACAAAAACAGGATTGCTGTAAGTTTGAGGCGAGCCTGGGCTGCATAGTGAGTCCAGGTCAGCCTGAACTACATAGCAACACCCAGTCTCAAAAAAAAGAAGAAAAAGGCACATAAGCCTTACTTCCTGTGTAACATCTGACATTATGGAAGAACTATTCATTGAGGGATTGTGCTGGAGTAGGAATGCACTTATTTCACCAGTTTCTCATAAGGAAATGTGCAAGCACAGGTTTTCTGCAGAGGGACCATGCTTAATGTGTTTTGTTTTTTTTTTCATTTATTTATTTATTTATTTATTTATTTAGTGTGTGGCCAGCTCAGCCCACCAGGGGGCGGGGCTGGCTGGCATGTGGTGCTGGGGGATTGAACCCCGTCCCTGTGCTTTGCTTAGCTGAGCTTGTTCTAAGTAGGTGCTCCAGACCACTGAGCCATCTCACCAGCCCGCTTAATGTGTTTTTGTGTGGCCTGCTCAGCCTGGACCCTCAGCTCGGGGCTGGTGTGACATGTGGTGCCGGGGATCAAACTGTGGTCCCTGTGCTTATCTAAGCTTGCCCAAGCAGGCGCTTTGGACCGCTGATTATCTTGCCAGCCCCTTAATATGTTTTATTTTGAAGAACTTTAAATGCAAAAGACATAAATGAGTTACTTGACAGCAGGTGTTTATGTTTCAGGAAACTATTTTTAGAAAATAACATACTTGTATTATGCTTTTTAAAATATTTAAAATGTAAGCAAAATTTTAATTAAAGTTATAAAATAGCAGAATCATTTACCCAGGCCACATAATTAAAAGTCCTTGTAGGCCTTCCATCGCATTCATCAACAGATGTGTTTGTAGGCTCCTAAAGTAAATTCTTTCCATATGCTAATGGCTACCTTTTTTTTTTTAACATTTTTATTTATTTATTGTGTGTGTGTGTGTGTGTGTGTGGCCAGCTCAGCCCACCAGGGGGCGCAGCTGGCTGGCATGTGGTGCTGGGGGATCGAACCGTGGTCCCTGTGCTTTAGCCAAGCTTGTTTCAAGTAAGTGCTTTAGACCACTGAGCCATCTCGCCAGCCCCAACCTTTTATGTTATTAATGATTACATTTGCAGATCCCAAGTGTCCTTCAAGGTATCACTGTACTCATGAAGCTGGTGTACATAGTGTTGGATTAACTTGGATTCATAAACTCCACAAATTTCTTGGATCAGGTGAGCATACTAACTTCCAAGTTACTAAAACCAAAAATTCTCTGCTATCATAGTGGTTCCATTTCTGTGTATTACCAATGGATAGCACAAAGAAAACATTTCCGTACATACTAACATTAAAATGAATAAAACAGAAATGAATTTAACAAAAGTGCAAACTACACTGTTAATTCTACAAAATGTCAAAATACCCAAACCTAAATAAATGAAAAACATCATTCATGGATCAAAAGCCTTAATGTTATTAAGAGGCAATACTTCCCAAATTGATCTAAAGAATCAGTGCAGCTGCTGGCCCCTCCCCTAGCTTACTGAGCAGGCCATGGAGTCCAGGCATGGTGATGCACTGCATTCCTGTAATCCCAGTGCTGGCAAAGCTGAAAACAGGAGGATCACTAGGAGTCCAAGCTGCATGTGAGACCCTGTACCAATAGAAAGAAGGGGGTGGGGGGGAGAATCAGTACAATCCCCTCTAAAAATTCTGGGTGGATTCTGCAGAAATTGACATGATTCTAGAATTTCCATAGAAATGCAAATGACCAAAAATAAGACATTCTGGAAGAACAAAATTGGAGGATCCACACATCCCAATTTCTAAGCTTAGCAGAAAACTGTAGTAAACAAAAGTGTGATATTTGCATAAGAGTACACATGTATTATAGATCAGAGGAACAGAAGTGAGAGTGTAGGAATGCACCCTTCTGTGTATGGTCATTTGGTTTCATCAGAGGTGCTGAAAGTATTGGCGGGGAGCTTTTCAGCAAATAGTGCTGGCAGGCACAATGCAGAACAATGAATTTAGACCCTTAATACCATTCCTAAAAATGAATTTCAAATGGATCAAAGACCAAATGGAAGAACATAAACCATAAAATTCTTAGATAAAAATCAATATAAATTTTTGTGACCTTGGATTAGCAGTGGTTTCTTAAGATAATCAGAAGTAGGGGCTGGGGAGATAGCTCAGCAGCATAAGTGCCTGCCTGGCAAGTACAAAGTCCTGAGTTTGATCCC